CCTGGAGCCCATGCGGAATGTGAACGAGGAAGAGCTGGAAGGCCTGCCCTTGCTGGCCACACAAGATGGCTGCCTGCATGCCCTCAGCATCCACCAGCCAGTCTTCCACAACTCCTTTGCACACCTCTTCCCCCACCACTGCCACCGCTTTGCCGACAAGTTAATTTCTGACTTGACCCTGCCTCGCTTTGTGAAGGAGCTTGGCCTCCTGGAGGCCACACCACTCATCCAGGAGGCACTGGGTCAGCTGAACTGGACCACACAGGGGGAGAAGTGGCTCAAGGATCTGTGGGAGTTCTTCAGAACTGTGATCTACAGAGCCACGAAGGCCGAAAAGGAGGTGGCGGCGAACATGAACTTATTCATGGATCATCTTCAGGATGTGGTGGTGCTGCCTGTTCAGGGGGGTGAGACAGGCTCAAAGCACCTCCTGCCACTATCCTCCCTCCCCAAAGTTCTTTTTGAGTGTGACACAGAGGTGGCCAAGGTGCTGCACACACTGGGCATCCCTGTGCTCCAGAAGTCCCTGCTGCCTCTTGACTTTACCTACCATTGCCTGAGGACAAGGGCACTGCAGGCCACAGATCCCAGGGCTGTGCTGGCCCAGCTGGTGGACACCAGAGCTGATCTCCGCTGGAGGGACTTAGGTGAGTGGGATGTTACTGGCCTGCTGCGCTTTATGCAGGGAAAACTGAATTCATCGGAGCTGAAACAGCTCCAGCTCCTGCCTCTCTTCCAGAAGTATGATGGGGGCTATGTACCTGTGGAACCCTACCGCAAGGTACTGTTGCTCAGCAGCCAGTTCCCAAAACTGCCTCTGGATGTCCAAGCCCTGTACAACCTGGAGGAGGGCACATTGCTGCTCACAGCAGACAAGATCCACCAGCAGCTGGCTAAGGATTTGCAGTGGGAGCTCACAAATGACCAGCAGCTCTTCATAACTGTGGTGCTGCCCCGGCTATCCCAGCTCACAGTGCAAGAGCTTATGGCAGCTGTGCGCTTGTTCTTTGCTCTGCAACACATCTGTGACATTAAGTTCAAGGAAGATGTTGTGGCAGCTTTTCAGACTGTGGCCTTTATACCTGACACCCACGATGTGCTGCGCTGCGCCTCCTACTTCTACAACAACACACCCTCCTTCTGCACCCTGCAGCTCCAACACCGCTTTGTGCCTGAGTCTTTCTTTGAGAAGCTAGGTTACAATTGGGAAGCTGCTAAGGACTTCCTGCTTCAGGCAGGTGTCCGCACCAGCCTTTCTGTGGAGGATTTTGTGGCACTGGCCCTAAAGATAGAGCGTGAAGCCACTTGGGCTAGGTGCCACACTGAAGACCTGCTAGCACGACAGCAGGAGATGCTCAAAGAGCTTGGCACCCTGTTGGACAATCCTTTGCCAAAGGGTTTCCTGAGGCAAATTGCCTCAATCCACTTCCTGCCTCCCATGGACATCCCTCCAAACTTGATCAACCTCCACCCACCTTTTGCAGCCTGCACTAAGCCCGTGGCCCTGAAGGGCAGCGTTTACCACTGCCAAGAAGATGTGGCTGAGCTCCTGTGGACATCAGCCACCATCCTGCCGAAGTCCTTTACACTCAAGCAGGACCTCCTGGAGGTCATGGAAGTCCTTGTAGAGATACCCACCGCCCTGGTGGTGGCCAACCTGGAGCAGGTGTGCAGGGCAGCTTGCCAGACACCACAGCAGGTGAACACACGGGCCAGCGTGCTCCAGAAGGTGTACAACTTCTTGCAGACCCGTCTGAAGGAGGTGGATGCAGGGCGCCTCGCTGAGCTGCCTGTGGTGCTGGCCAAGTCAGGGGACATGGCCATGCCATGGCAAGTGGTGACATCACTCCCGGATGAGGCTGACTTTTACCCCTTTCTCCTCACACCTGACCCCCACATGGCTGTCTATGGAGACCTCCTGCAACGCCTTGGGGTGGTCCTGCTCCCCACGCTGACTCACTACAGCCGTGTCCTGGCCCAAATCCACCAGGAGAGCCGTGTCAGTGGGACCCTCAATACTATCCAGAAGAAGACAGTCCTGCTGGCCACACGGCACTTCTTCCAGCTGCTGCAGGACGCACTGGAGCCCCCTGATTTCTCTACTGTGGCTGAGCTGTACTTGCTGAGCACTGCTGACTGCCTAGAGTCATCCCACAGTCTGTACTTCAATGACTGCGTGTCCTCAAGTACCTCTAGGGCCTTGGGGAAGACCTTTGTGTTTATGGCTGAATTGCCGGGGACGGGGTGTAATGCCTGGTGGCTGCTGCAAATGCTACCACAGCGCCTGCGGCCACGGGCCCTATCAGAGGTGATGGAGCAGCAGCTGGAGGAGAGCAGTCTGCAGCTATGTCGCTACGGTTCTCATTGCCCTGGGCAGAGGCGTCTGCAGACCCTCCTGGTATCACCGTGGTTTAGGATGGGGCTGGAGGCCCTGCTCCGGTGGCAGAGCTGCAGGGCTATGATGAGAATGGAGTGGCATGGTGACTTTGCAGTGGAGCAGCTGAAAGTACAGTGCTGCGAGGACATCTGCACTGTTCTGGTCCACTGTGGTGCAAAGGTGGAGGGCAGCTCCCGGCCACAGGTCATCCATGTGTGCCCGGCTGGTGGTGCCCAGCGGCTCCTCTACATCCGGCATGCAGATATGGTGCTGGACCGGCACCAGCTGAGGATCCTGGAGACGCTAGCACAGGAGATCAATATCATCCTGGGTGGACAGCTGGAGGCACCCGCCTTGTCAGTGCTGCGTGAAATGCTGGTCTGCCAGAAGCCACAGGACGTGGCCTTTGTTCTGGAGGAGAATGATGTGGCACTGGTGGGTGCTGCACCAGAGCCAGAGGAGGTCATGGCACCAGTGCTGGAGTCAGAGCTGGAGAAGAGGCTGCAGGAGGAGGCTGTGGCAGACGGGAAGCCATGGAAGGATTGCCACAGCCTGATGTCAGAGGTGAATGGCAATGTGGATCACAGCGTGGCAACCTTGTGGCAGCTGTGTGCTGTCAAGCAGCCAAAGGTGTTGCGGGACCTCTACCTCCAGCACAACCCTGCAAGTGCTGCCCAGCACCACTGCTGGCAACAGGAAGGCCATGGCTCCTGGTTGTGCAATGAGGAGGCCATGGCCCTGACTCCATCCATCCCAGAGGCCCAGCGGTGGCTGCGGCAGGCCAAGAGTGACCTGCAGGCAGCCCACAATGACATTAGGCACTGCTGTCCCAACTGGGTCCTCTTCAAGGTTCACCAGGCCCTGGAGAAGGCGCTGCTGGCTGCCGTACTTTGCCATGGTGAGGCCTTTGATGTCCCAATGGGGCTGGTGGGGCTGGCCCAATGGCTGGAAGCAGTGGAGCCAAAGCTGAGGGGCCTGGCAGACGAGGTGAACTCATTGCATGACTGTGGCATGGATGGCAAGGCCACACAGTACCCAAGTTACCACCCCTTCCCCATCACCCCCAACGAGGCCTTCCACAGTGTGGATGAGGAGGAGGTACTGAAGCGGGTGCAAGGAGTGCTGGTGAGGCTGCAGGACCACGTGGGTGGAATGTGAGGATGTCCCCACAGAGGGAGCACTGGCAGCTTGGCCACGGGACCACCATGGACCCACCACGGACCTGTCGCGGACTCACCATGGATTTGTCACAGACCTGCCACAGGCAATTCCAGACTGTCCAGCCCTGCAGCAGAGCTGGACTAAGGCAGGAGGGGTTTGGGGGCAGATAGGGGGCCTACGCCACTGAAAGTCATGGGGTAACATGTGCCATTGGCATGCCTTGGGAGCAGGGGAAATAAAGTACAATAATAAATGTTGCAATGCTGGTAGACCCTTCACTAACAGTGTGGTCAGGGGACATGGAGATGTCATGGGTGACTGGGGGTGTGTGCAAGGTGAAGGTGGTGATGAAGGGGTTTAGAGGACTGTGGTGGTCCTTGGCCAGCCACCAAGCTGCTCTATCACTCCCCCTCTTCAACAGGACAGGGGAAGAAAATACGATGAAAATCTCATGGATCTTGATAGGGACAGGGAGATCACTCACCAAGTACTGTCACAGGCAAAACAGACTCGACTTGGGGAAATTAATTTAATTTATTGCCAATTAAACAGAGTAGGATAGTAAGAAATAAGAACAAACCTAAAAACGCCTTCCCCCCACCCCTCCCTTCTTCCTGGGTTCAAATTCACTCCCAACTCTTCTACCTCCTCCCTGCAAGCAGCGCAGGGGAATGGGGAATGTGGATTGGGGGTCAGCTCATAATACTTTGTCTCTGCTGCTCCTTCCTCCTCACGCTGTTCCCCTTGCTCCAGTGTGGGGTGTCTCCCATGGGAGACAGTCCTGCACTAACTTCTCCAATGTGGGTCCTTCCCACGGGCTGCAGTTCTTCAAGAACTGCTCCAACATAGGTCCCTTACATGGGTTGCAGTCCTTCAGGTACCGACTGCTCCAGCGTGGGTCCCCCACGGGGCCACAGGTCCTGCCAGAAGACCCGCTCTGGTGTGGACTCCTCTCTACAGGCCGTAGTCCCTGCCAGGAGCCTGCTCCAGTGTGGGCTTTTCACGGGCTGCAGGTTCCTTCAGAGTATCTCCACCTGCTGTGGTGTTGATACCGAGTACAAAGGAATATTTGTCGGAGTTTTCCCGGATCTTTGCCGGCGGCGGAGCGGGAGTCACGAATCCGGAGTAATGATAGAGCCCAATATGGGTATGGTCATCCTCCTTCATTTAGACTTACAACAGGGTTTATATAGTTATGTGCCACAGACACAAGCTTCATAACAACCCATAATTGGTTAACTGCAGTCATTCACGCACTCGGACATGCACTTCATAACAACTTACAATTGGCTAATCACAGTCGTTCACACGCTCGGACGCGCGCTTCATAACAACTGTTCACGCGCCCCCAACTCCTTCCTCATTGGAGGCTGACGGCCACACCGACCCCCGCCTGCTCCCCATCCCGGTTGTTGTTCCGCATCTGTTGTTTATCCGCTGG